TAGATTGCTGTATAGCTTTACAGGATATGAGTATAACATTTTCCAACCTTCCAATATATTGCAGCCAAATGACCTCATTACATACTTAAATTATTTGGAATTCTGCTACAACATCCCTTAAGGCCATAACAAGAAAATGAAAAATTGCTTCGGCTATTTTATGGCTAGAACCTGATTCAAAGAAATGGACATATTTCATAAAGTAACTAACTTTTACTGTAATACAGCCAAACTATCTTAAACATCAGAAACCATAAATATTCATTTCTCCTAAAAGTAGAGACAACAAACCCCAAAGGCCAGGGTGGTTTCATTTCTTTTCAGGGAAGGTGTGGGCAAATTGAAGCTTCTAAACCTATTTTTTGTGAATTTATGGTGTCATTAATCAGGTCTTGATGTTGTAGATGTGCACTGTATTGAAATAAAGTGGTGTCTGTTTGCTTCATCTCAAAAGACTGTCTTTCCCTTAAATTTAATGCATTGCAGGAACTCAAGGTTTAGCTCGGTGGCTTGAAGACCCATATTACCCAAATGCTGCCTATTCTTGGAGCTTGATTCATGGTGAGAAAACAAAGCACATGAGCATCCGTATGCATCTTCCTTGTGCATTTCTAGAACGAAGAAAAATATAAGCTGTTTGTGCCACTAAATTGCTGTTTTCAGGAAATGGCACTATTTGGCTGGATATACCCAAGTCCTCTAGTTACCATGTTGCAGTGGGTAACTTGAACTCCGAAATGGTAGAGGTAATTATGCCATCTTTACATGATTTCATGTTTTTCTTAACCTTAAAAATATATAATCCCTATTAGAGTATAAAACCTTTCATGAGCCCACAACCACAAAATTGAGCTTTTGGTTGAGTTGGTTCTTTGACATGGTAGGAGTGCTGACCAAGAGGTCACGAGTTCAAACCTGACCGCCACTCAGTTTTAAAAAATGAATATCCACGTGCAAGGCTCGAGCAAACACAAATCTCGGCTGCACGCGAGGAAGTGTGTTAGAGTATAAAACCTTTCCAGCGCAAGCTCAAACTTTTGGTTGAGTTGGTTCCTTGACACTACCTTTGGCCCCTCTCAATCTTTCGCTTTGTTATCCACATGTTCAACCTATATCATCTATCTCTACTTATTTTCTCTAATCATTTATGATTTATTAAAATATACTCGTAATTATTAACATGCCTTGTGTTTTCTAGAACATTTGATGTCGTTTTTAAATACGGTGTATACATTATATTTATAAATTTTGCACAAGTGTTTAAATAAATTGAATTTAAAATAACTTCAGTCAAACATCGTTATTCAAAAAAGAAGATTAAATAGGAAGGGAGTGTTTACCGAATTCAAATAATTAGGATGGTGGGCTCCATGTTTACTTTACATGAACCAAGATGGTTGTCTAGAGTCGCTCATATCATTCACACTAATCTAATGGCATGCACTAAAAATTCTCTACTAAGGGTTCGTTTGGATCACAAAATTCCAAAGAAAGGAGCTAAGAAGTAAAGGATAAAAGAAATCTGGAAAGAAAGAATGTTGGGGAAAACAAAAGATATGCTAAAAATAAGTTTGTTTTAGATATTTGCCGATACTATATTATAGCTATATTTGATTTAGTGTTATCTGTTGTGGTTTATGGTCTCGTGTTTCGGTGTCCCTGTTTTCTGTGGAATTGTACTAAGTACTAACCTATGTCTTTTGTGCTTGAGTTGGGGGTCCTTCCATCTTTCGGATACAACCTTTCACCGTTCGAAATAGGGGTAAGGTGTGTGTACACCCACCCTCACCGGGCCCCATTTAAGGGATTTTACTGGGTTGTTGTTGATACTCTTTTAATTTAGTTATGTCTAATATATAAAGACTAACAAATATGTATGTGTGTGTGTGTATATATATATATATAAAAGTAAATAATTGTAGTTCATTTCCAATTTAAAACCAAACATATGAAAACAATTTTCCTTGGCTCCGTAGACCGTAGTGTTGCCCATTATCCAAAATTCCAAATACCCCTATTGCATTGGGGGAAAGGACTAATCTAATTTGATTTTCTTGATTTTTTTGGGGCACAGGCTCACTTGAAAATCAACATTCGTGCTATGCTCTATAATACTAATGAAGCATACTACAAATGTAGAACCACACAGGCTCAATGTGGATTGAAACTGAATTTCCCCAGTGAAAATGTTGCTCTTCTGCAATCTCCTAGTAAGAGGCCAGTAAGTTTTTTTTAAAATGTTTTAGTATGGCCTTGTCTTCTCGTCAACTAGATTTTAGAGTAAAATCATTTTACAATTTTTATAGGATACAGCTAATAGCGTGTGGACTGTTAAAATTTCCTATGGACCTAGATGGATCACATACCTTCTTGGCATAGGTACATTTCCTTGTTTTCCATATCTACGTATAGATTGTAGAATAACCATATGCTGTCCCTAATGATTTGTTTGATGTCAGATTTCGGAGGGGAGGTGAGGGGAGGGGAGGAATGATGCCTGTTTAGCTAATATATCTCTATTGCTAGTCTTGTATGTTCAGTTAGAAAATACCTACTACTAAGTATCTTCTTAGTTAAATCATTTAACTATCTACTCCATATATATATTTTTTTACTTTTACATTCCTTCAGGTCAACTCATGTTAGAGTAAGTTAATAAATAATATAAAAAAACAAGCCCCTCCTGTTCCATCGCCTCCATAATCCTCCAACCATACAAAAGGCAGGTAAATGTAAGAACAAACTAATAAAATGAAAATAACCTCTCCAACTCCTTTTGAAATCCCCAACCAAACAAGTACTAAACTTTCCAACTACAAAGTATACAGGTGGAACAAGCTGTCTGGTGTTACTGGTCCACCGCTTCCTAGTCAATCTGCAGCAGAGTCGTGAAGACAGAAGTAGAGCTGAATTAGGAGATACGAGGTCCGAACGATTCCCTATGCTTTCACACAAACACGATGACAGCTCGAGTTTGGGTTCCTCTTACTGCTCTCAAGATGATGAAAAGTTTGAGGACGCGACCACAAGCATCAACACAAGTGATGGGAAGACAGTGAAAGAGAGCGATACGCCTCATCTCTGTGCCATTTGCTTTGATGCACCAAGGGACTGTTTCTTCATCCCATGTGGTCACTGCTTGTCCTGTTTTGAATGTGGAACAAGGTGATTATCTGCTATCCTTTTTCTCAACACAATAAATATTTTTTTTAGCCTCTTTGGTCAAGGCCCCATGTTTCGCTAAAGTAAGTGGTTCTCGTCGATTTGCATCTAAAACAAAATAGTGTGCTGAGTTTTCTGAAATTAATGTCATAAGGAAATTAATGTCATAAGGAAATTAATGTGTTTGTCCAAAACAAGATTCCTCTTTGTAATATCGAAAAGATTCCTCTATTGGCCATGGCAGGATAGCTGAGGCTGCAGGGACTTGCCCCGTATGTCGCAGGCGCATGAAGAAGGTGAAGAAGATATATACAGTTTAGTCTGAGACTCTTTTTTAGACTTGCCACTTTAGATCATGGTGTAAATATATATATATAGTACTCTGTTTGTATCATTGTATACTTGGCACTGTGGTATAAGCACACTAATGTCCACTGACAGCCTTTTCTTATCAGAAGGTAAGTACGTTTTCCTTTTAGATTTCCTTCTACTCTGTTTTTTTTAAATCAAAATAACATGGCAGAATAATGATTAAATTTTTTTATTAAATATGTACAGTCCAAAAATTTTAAATGTACGAGTATTTTGAAAGAGTACAATGTATTTTCATTGTCATATCGGAGTACACACTGGTTACCCCTTTGGAAGGGAGCAAAGAGCAATTACCCTTTGCTCATTTTTTCAAGGGTTTCACCCTTTTGTGTGGATCCTAACTTGTAACAAAATGATAACCCCATTCTAGGTGAGAAAAGATTCTTTTTATTTCACATATGGCCTAACTTTTTTTTTCGAGATGAAAACATTTGAGAATTTCATTATTTGATATAGAGAATAGAACAAGATTGTTTTTCTTTTAAAATAAGAGCGTTTTAAATATGAATAAAAAGATAAGTACTATAGAAATTTATGAATTAATGGTCATGATTTTGCCAAACAAGAAATGAGAATCAAGAATGAACATTTTAGAAAACCGGAACTAGAAGGGTACTGTGTAGAGCTGATTATGACCTCGAATACCTAGCCCGCCCGCAAAATAGCAGGGTTGGACTTAATAGTTTGGGGGTATGGGTCGGGCCACGGATTTAAAAACGAGGGCCGCATACTTGAGGGTCGGACTCGGGCTTTATGTTCAAGCTCGCGGCCCGACTCAACTGAATGAATAGTAATAATAATAATAATAATAATAATAATAATAATAATAATAATAATAATAATAATAATAATAATAACACCTTGGTTCCCATGACATTGGGAACCAATGTCATGGGAACCTTGCCCTAATAATAATAATAATAATAATAATAATAATAATAATAATAGAAATAATGATAATAATAAGGAGTTATAATAATAACAATAATAATAATAATATAAGAATAAATTTTATTGGATTTATCTTGAAAAGTATTTTCAAGGTATTGTTTCCGAAGCACTTAATTAATATGTCATGTAACTTTTAGTTTCAAAAAAATATAACTTTTACTTAAGTATACGTTAAAAGTTAATTCTGATTGACTTGTAAAATTTAAATTTGACAAATAACCAAGGATGGAGGTACTAATACTTATGGATATCAATATTGATATAAATACAATACATTGCATATATTAATTATTATTCGTATATTTATCAATTTATTATATCAAACATCTAATATATTAAGACATTACGGAGTTTTTTAAACACATACTCCGTACTTCATAAAAATTACACTCCGTATTACCCATGTGAGTAGGCCCCTGCGAGCCGGGTTTGGGCTTTAGTTGTTAGTCCCACTATACACCGGAGTAACCACCAGAAAAAAAGGAAAAAGAAAAAAAAACTTTGTACGAGTCTCGGGTTACATGGTCAGGGGCCGTCTGAAACTCGGGAAGCTCAGGCGTGGAACTGTGTAATAACTCCCCTCCGGAAATCCGTACCGGTTGTCGGATCCTAACATTCACCATCCGGCCACGAAATCAGGCGAGGGCACTCTTTCTCCATGGGGCTCATGTGATTTAATCTCGTAGAGCTAGGGTTACGTGGGGTTTAGCTATTGTTGGAACGATGGCGGCAGTTTCCAGAGAGAAAGTCGCCGGCCTTCTGATCTCTTCCAAGCGCGCTGCAGCTATTCCGTCGAAGTTGGGCTACCTGCGCCGGCTTAGGAATGAGCTTTCCGGCGCCGACTCCATCTTGCTTGCCGAGTTCTTCCCTCTTATCACTGGCCTCGTATCAGATCGATTTAGTCCAGCTCGCAAATTCACAATAGAGTACGCTTCCTTTCCCAACACTTTTTTCAAGTTTCATGCTAGCAAAGTGTTTTCAATTTTGAACTCTGCTTATTCCAGTGTCTAGACTAAGCCATCAGATAGCGTCTGAATATCACAAGTCAATACTGCCTTAATATCCCACTACTGCTCTTTTTTCAGCTGTTTTTTCGAGCTGAATTGAAAGCAGCACAATATGTTTTTCAGCTGTAGCTGTTATTCTAGAGTTGACACCGGGTAGCCATTTTGATCTCGTTTTCTTTTTATGCAGAATGCTAAGTCCTATTGGAATCAAATACATCGAATTCCTTCCTGAAATTGTGCCTTTATTGATCACATCCCTGAAGGATGACACACCTGCTGTTGCTCGACAGTCTATTATGTGTGGAATTGAGATATTTCGTTCTCTTCTGTTCAAAGTTACACTTCAGGTAAGTTTAGTGCACGTCTTACTTAGAAAGCTGCTTATTCCGATATATTCTGGGGATTTATCATCAATCTGTACAAAGTTTGATTGAGAGCAATGTGCCACCTCTCTGGAGCTCTGCATGCAAAGAAATTTAGTGCCAAACATTTCAGATTTCTTATCTTCCAGTATTCACGCTCACGTGTACTCACAGGCTCACAGAGTTTGTAGGATGTCTAACAAAACAAACTCTTGGTGTATCAATGCACATTTTCTCTGAGTCCATGTTAGTCCTGTCTCACATTAAACTTCTAACCCATAACCTTCCTGGTATAGGGCTTGTATTCAAGCGAATTGGATGGTTCACTCGAATCAGCTTGGGCGTGTGCACAGAAGTTCATGGATGAAATATATGCTGTGGCATTTCAGGTACTTTAAAATTTAAAAGCATAGAGTTTTGTATGTTTTACGAGTCATTTAGGGTTTGGTCACATTTATGACAGCCAGAAATTGATGGAAGAAGTTTACTGGCAATAAAGTTTGTGGAATCTGTCATTCTTCTTTACACGCCCAATCCGAATGTCAGCTCAGAGCCACCTGCTAATTTACGTGCTGACGGTATCTGCCATTCTGCTGTCAATAGTCAAATTCCTGAATGAATATTTTTCTCTTTTTCATTTTCAAATGATGCATGCTATTTAATGAAGTATATTGGTTTCTCCTGCAAACTTATTACACATAACTCAGGAAATTTTGAAGACTTCAACATATCATGGCTTCGTGGAGGTCATCCAATACTTAATGTTGGAGAGTTATCAGATAAAGCCAGCAATAGTTTGAGCTTACTACTTGATCAGTTAAGGTTTTCAGCCATGAAGTCACTAAGTCACTTGATGTCCATTGTGGTCATCAATAGGTATGAATCCACAATCAATACTAGTTTATGAGATGGCACATCAGCATCATGTATTTTATTTGCTTCTAATTCATAACTGCTAGTATTTAGTTTCTTCTTAGTCCCATACTCACATTAGTTTACTCTTTTCATGTAGCCTTTCAGCAATTGCCACAAAAAGGCCAGCTTTTTATGGTCGTATTCTTCCAGTTTTAATGGGCCTAGATCCTTCAAAATCTGACATCAATGGGAAGTATGTTTCTGCGGTGCATCATTCTCTGAAGAATGCATTCCTATCTTGCTTGAATTGTACACAACCCGGTTCTGCCCCGGTATTTCTATTTCCTGGTTCATGCTTCTATATGTGCATTCCTGAATTCATATTTGTGTCCCGACTGTTCTCTTAAATTCCCTTTTGGCTTAGTCATTAGTTTCAGTTTTTATTTTCTTTCCTTTTTAATGGAAGGTATCTTGTTTTAACTATTTGCTACCCTATTTTATGTTATCCCACTTTGGTTGTAAGCCAAACAAACTCTTTGCCTAGGACACCTTTGATTTTTCTTTTGTTTTTGTTTTTAAAATTTTAAGGCTCCATTGTTGTTTTTTATTTTAAATTTCTTGAAACCTTTTTTTTTTGGATTTTTTCCCAATTGAAGTGGAGGGATCGATTAATTGGAGCACTGAGAGGAATGAGACCTGGAGGACAGACAGATCAAGGTGCACACCAGGTTTCCCTGAGCCATGGGAATGCTCAGCTAAAGCATGAGTTATGTGACTCGGAGGTACATAGCATTATTTTATTTTCTGTTACTGATTTATATCACCTAGTATTTTTTTTCTGAATAAGAGTGAGTTTCTTAAAAAGTGCTAATTCTTTTAAGGATGCCAAACCGTCAATTAAAGCAGTGGATACTGGTTCTAGCCCTGCTGGGAGAAAACGCTCAGGGATTGAATCTAATGCTGATTTGGTCGATGTTGATGATGAGATGTCTCGAAAACGTCCAAAACCAACTCCTGCTGTCACAGAAGTGAAAGGAGAATATAATGTTCAACAGGATAAATGTTCTTCAAGTGAACCAACTACATCTAGAACAGATAGTGATAGCAACGCTGTGAAGCAACTTGTTGCAATGTTTGGTGCACTAGTTGCAAAGGGTGAAAAGGCTATGCCATCACTAGAAATTCTTATCTCGAGTATATCATCAGACTTGCTGGCTGAAGTTGTGATGGCCAACATGCGAAATGTCCCACCAAATCGACCCAATTCAGTAGTAGAAGATGAACTTTTGGCGGCAGGATCACATTTTGGTGCTAGCACGATTGGAACTGGCTTAAGACAATTGTCTTCATTGTTGACTGATATCTTTTTACAGCCCAGCGCATTGCAACTGAATGATAGTGCTGTTGATGCTCAATTATCTTGTGAGCTTGAGGTCCGCATTCCTTATTGAAAATTTGCATTGACTTGCTTGATTTTGAATTTGATTCATCTCAGTAGTGGACTTTGGTTTCCATGTACTTGCTTTATGAAATTTGTTGTTCACTCTCGAAGCCTAATCCATCTGCAGGGTTCTTATCTTTTCAGTTTTATTGAATATATGCTATACTGTATTTAATAATATACTGAGTTTGCAGCAATCTGGACCGGAGGAGCAACATTTGAATATTCCTCAGTGTAAGGCTGCATCTGATTCCCAAGACTATGGAAGCAATCAAGTTCAAAAACCTGTTTCTATTTGTGAAGGCAGTCCTTCAGCAATGGAGAACATTTCAGTGATTGCATCTGAAGTTGCTGACATTGGGAATATGAAGAATCCAATACCTGGTGTAGATTCTCTTTCCCAGAGTGATGGATTAGCAGGCATAGTTGTTCCTTTGCCAGCTTCTACTGACCTTGATGAGGTCAATCAAAAGCTTGTTTCCGGTCTAACTAGGCCACAGTTAGAAGTACTTCCATCATTTTCGACTGATAGATCTGAGGAACTTAGTCCTAAAGCAGCAGTGACAGATGCTACCAGCACCCACTCATCAACAGCAACCTCTGTCGGGCAGTCTCCACAGTTGGTGCTTCCAAAGATGTCTGCACCTGTTGTGCGTCTGCCTGATGAACAAAGAGACAATATACAGAAGTCATGTTTGATGCGCATCATTGATGCTTACAAGCAAGTAGCAGTTGCAGGAGGCTCTCATGCTCGTTTGTCTGTTCTTGCTCATTTAACAGTTAAGGTATTATGTATATTCATAATGACTTCCTCTTCAGATTTTTGTTCTTCTCTCATTTAGTGCTGTGATTAAATGTTTATTATTCAGCTTCCCTCAGATCTAGATGCATGGAAAATGCTGCAAGTGTACATTTTGTCAGATTATGTGAACCACGAGGTATTGGATATTTTGCACTTCTGTAGGCTCTAAATTGGCACTGAAACTATTTGCCGTACTGCCATTACTGTCCATTGTTGCTATTTTGGTAGTTTTGCTGCTGCTGCTATCTTTATTGGTCTTGTATATGCTTGTCCCATTTTAATTTCTTCATGTCTTATTTCGGCTTCATTCTTAAGGAGTTGAGGGAGGGGGGCTAACATCATACTAAACCTTAATCTAAAAGGCACTTTTTCTTGTTTTATTTCATTTTCAGTATCTAAGTCTGTTTCTGTGTTTGTCTCCACTTTTCTCTCTTTGTTTGCCTCTTGTATTTTTCTTGTCTTCTCTCTCATAAATCCACTCTCTTTCTTCATTGAGTTATTTCCTTTCATGGTTGTTGTTTTAGTTTATAATGTGTTATTTACAGATTATGTGCTTTTTATTATTTTTAAAATTATTATTCCTTGCGTCTTCTGGTACTTTATGAATATCTATCAACATTGTACTATGTAAGTAGTTTCACTTTTCCCCACACTTGTGCTTGCTTTGTTTATGAATGTGACTAATCAATGGGTGCTTTTAGGGGCACGAGTTGACGTTACGTGTGCTCTACAGGTTATATGGCCAAGCAAAAGAAGACCAGGACTTTTTTTCTTCAACAGCTGCAGAGTCTGCATATGAAATGTTCCTTCTAACAGTGGTATGCACATTTTTTTGAAATATATTTTTCGTATGGCGTACTTGTTATCTGCTAATCCTATGATTCACTTTTATCTTTTTTCTACTTTGATCTTTCAGGCAGAAACACTTAGGGATTCATTCCCAGCCTCTGATAAATCTTTAAGTAGATTGCTTGGTGATGCTCCACATCTACCAAACTCTCTCTTTAAATTGTTAGAGTGTTTGTGCTGTCCTGGTAGTAACGAAAGTAATGACAAGGAGTTATATAGTGGAGATCGAGTAACACAAGGCCTCAGTGCTGTATGGAGCCTAATTTTACTGAGACCATCAATTCGGAGCACATCACTTAGTATTGCTCTACAGGTTCTCTTGACCCTTGGACTTTATATTAGAAGTTCAAATGTATTTAATCTTGCAAATTGAACTTCTTCACTGCATGATTTTCTGATCTATTATTTCTTTGGTTTTGTTGTTAAGAGTACTACACATCACCTAGAAGAAGTGCGTATGAAGGCTATACGACTGGTAAGTGGTATATAATTTACAACATATAACAAGAATACCCAGTATAACTGTATAATCTCATCTGTGTTGGGGTCTTTAGGAGGTGGGGAAGATGTATGTAGCCTTACCCCTGTGATAGATAGAGATGCTATTTTTGTTAGACCCTTGATGCATTGTTGCATTTAGTACCCAAAACTTCATCGAAAGTAAGAAGGAAAAGGAGTTTATTATGCCATCTTTGGTGCTGTTTCTTTTCATCATCATCATCATCGTCGTCATCATCATCTTCATTCTTATCATCATCTTTATTCTTCATATTTGATTTGCAATTAACCTTTTTGTTTTGTAGGTTGCAAACAGGCTTTATCCTTTACCGTCCATCTCTCAACAAATAGAAACTTTTGCAAGTGAAACACTATTATCAGTCATAAACGTCAATCATAAAACAAGTTCAAATGATGAGCAGTCTAATACTGACATGCAACAGGTAGTTGTTTATCACTATGATCCAATTCTTACCAAAATGCAAGCTGCTTTGAAAGTTTTGTGATGTCTGCTTTGTTTCTATTACACATTTTCAGTGCTACCTAAAGTCCTAAACAGATTTTTGTGCTCTGTGTACTTTCAAAAAAATTCATAACCATGAATGCAGTGTGAAACTGATGTCATGAATGTTGGTCTTCTTGCAACCTCTTCACATTGCTTTTCATTTTTCAAGTGACCAAAATGTGAATACGCTCGTTTGGTGTTCATTGTTTGCTAAGTAAAATATAAATGATTGAACTTGCTGTAGAAGTCATCATATCACAATGTGAATACATTTTACACAAGTATTGGTCAGCTAATGCACTTCACTGCTTGCTCAGGGTGGAAGCTATAAAACTTTTTTTTATATGTTAATGCCGATGTAGATCCCTGGCATTGACAAAAATGACGAGTACATGAACTGGAACTGACTTGCTATCAAATCCTAGTTGATAGATCATAAATATTCTTGGTCGATTGACCTTCAGGTTTTGTTATTTGTTCCAGGATTCTAATTTGGTGGATAGAAGTGTGAATGAACAGACATCTACTTGTTCCGCCTCCAAAGAAATATCCCCTGACACGCATCAGTCACCCCCTTCTGAAAATTTCCCTTCAGTAGCTGAAGTACAGCGTTACATGTCACTGTATTTTGCACTGTGTACAAAGGTTTCCTTTTGCATCCCATGATTACTAGTCAAAGCTTGTTTTGTATGCAAGACTTCTTTATGTTCATGTCTTGGAGCTAAATATTGTTCAACAGAAGCACATCCTTTTTCGGCAAATATTCATCATTTATAGAAGTGGATCCAAGGCAATCAAGCAGGTTAATTTTTTATCGAATAGCCTCTTTGTGTTTTGCATATTTCTACTTTAATGGGAATTATAAGCTTTTGAAATGAGGGGCTATCTTTTACAGGCAGTTGATGCTCAAATCCCAATGTTGGTCCGGACTATTGGCTCATCACCTGAGCTTCTTCAAATCCTATCTGATCCACCATCTGGAAGTGAGGCACTCTTGATTCAGGTCTGGTGGACATTCATATACATGTGTGAGCTTGAGATTGATCATGTAAGAAAAATTGTAACAAATCACACTTGTGCTTTACTGTAGGTTCTTCGTACATTGACTGAGGGGATCATCCCTTCTCGTGAGCTAATAGTTTTAGTCAGGCAGTTGCATGAGACAAAAGTGAAGGTATGATATGACATGCATATATTACATTAATACTCCCTCCGTCCCATCATTATCTTCTTGTATGGGATTAGCTCAATTTTTGATAAAGTAGAACTTGTGTGATTATAGTTTGTATTGAGGAAGGAGAACTAATATGGACCACGCAGTTTTTTCCTTTAAAGGAAAGTGGAAGAAAATTTTGGAACAACCCAAATAGGAAAAGTAGGAAGATAATTATTGGACGAAGGGAGTTTGTCCATCATACAAAGCTTTTCTCCATGACTGCTTTTAACGAAAAGCTAACATTGATAGTAGTTTGCAGTACTGTTTTACATTAACTAAATATGTCATTTCAGAAGAGCTTTTAGACCTTTTACTCTTGGTTCACTCATTTTGGTATTTGCTCTTGACAGGATGTAGAAATTCTTCTTCCAGTGCTGCCATTCATGTCAAAGGAGGAGGTCTTATTTCATTTTGCAACTGCATTAAGATCTCTCTCTCTCTCTCTCTCTCTCTCTCGTTGAAAAGTACTGCATTAAAATCTCTTGAATAAGATAGCTATGAAACTATAAGTGTTTTGATATCCTATCTGCTTTTTTTTGTTGAACCAAAGCACATCTTCATTTCATCACCAGAAACATCATTACAGCCACCAAACTAGTTAAGCATTACAACTCAAAAATACTAACTACACTACACAACATATTTCTTCTTGCTTCTCCCCCAATATGTTGTTACATGAAAAACTGCCCAACTAAACATCTCATCTTCATTTATTCTTTCCATATTATGGTAAAGCTTGTTCCTTGCATTCTAAATTACATAACAAGCAGCAGCCTACATAGCAATACATCTTATTCTTCTCTTCCCCTTTAGCTGCATGAGTTTCTCCCTATTTTCATTCACATTTTCTCCCTCAACATTGCAGTTCAGCGAAGCAAACATTCTTTTTAGTAGGTTTTGAGTTACCTGACATTGACTAAAGAGGTGATCAGTGTCTTCCTCTGCCTGCCCAAACATTTCACAGGTTTTGTCAATATCCAAGAACTTACCCAATTCTGATTTTGGTACTGACTCTCCCTTTACAGATAAGCCAAAGAAGCATTTGATGCTTGGGGTAGACTGCTTGTTCCATACAAAAGGGTACCACTCAGATTTGTTCCTTAACCCCAAAAGCCATGCATAACCCTCTTCTGTAGTATACGTATTAGATCCAGGCATCTGCTCAAAGCATTTTTTATTGTTCACAATCTTCTTCCAATAGAAACAATTGTCACCCTTCAATTTATAGTTACCCACATCCCCTTTAATATATCTTCCATGAATCCATTTCACATTTTCACCCAAAGGCTATCTCTTTCATGAGCAACATCCCACAAATAGTTTTGAATGTAAGCCTTATTCCATAAAACCATATTCCTTGAGCCCAAACCCCCATAAGTCTTAGGTAAGCAAACATCTTCCCAGTTGACCAAAGGTCTTTTAGAGTAACTGGCTGTAGCCCCCCATTGAAAATTTCTGCAAATACTTTGTACCTTTCTCATCACTTTAGTAGGAATAATAAACAACTTGCATCAAAAGGTCTTAATACCATACAACACACTGCCTATCAATTTGCACCTTCCAGCATAGGACATATGCTTAGTAGCCCAAGAAGATATTCTAGAAGTGATATCATTCACTAACCTGTCACACTCTTTATCACTGATTCTAGTTGTTGTAAAAGGGCTTCCCTGGTACCTGAGTGGTAACTCTCCCATGGACAAGTTAGTCAGCTTCAACAGTCCCTCTTGTGTCTTCTTGTCCACACCACCAAAAACAATGTGTGACTTGGCATAATTAATGCTCAGTCCAGTAGTTCTTTGAAAAATATTCAGGACTTCCATGATGTAACTGAGTGCTTTATCATCAGCCTTGCATACATTAATCAAATCATCTACAAAACATAAATTGATTAGCTTAAGTGAGCTACACATGGGGTGAAATTTGAACTCCTTGCAATGAGCCATTTGTTGCAGAAGTCTACTCAAATATTCCATCACAAGGACAAAAAGCAAAGGGGAGATTGGATCCCCTTGCCTAAGTCCCTTTCTGCCTTTAAAATATCCATATCTTCCTCCATTCAACTCTATGGAAAAAGCAAGTGTAGAAATACAGTATTCAATCCATTCCACAAACTGGTGAGGAAAAGTTCAATAAGTTCATAATCTGCACCAAGGCCTTCCAACTCACTGTATCATAGGCTTTCTTAATGTCTAATTTAATGAAACATCTGGGAGAAATCCCCTTCTTCTTGTACCCCCTAGGCAATTCGTGGCAGAGCAAAACATTATGAACAAGATCTCTCCCTTTGACAAATGCTCCTTGGTTTTGACTCACAATAGTAGGGATAATAGTCTTCAGTTTACTGCACAAAATTTTGGAGATTATTTTGTAAAGCACATTACAGCAGGCTATATGCTTTGAGTCATTAGCCTGAGTGGGTGCCTCAACTTTAGGAATCACTGACAAAAGGGTTGAATTGATTTGTTTCAGGAATTTCCCATAAGTAAAGAAATCCAACACTGCTCTAGTTATCATCCCCCCTACCACTTTCCACTGGTTTTTAAAAGTCCACTACTAAAACCATCACGGTCAGGACTCTTACAATTTGGTATCCCAAACAAAGCTTCTTTCACCTGTTCTCCTTTCACCTCTGTGAGAAGGGCTATTTGTTGTTCAATAGTCAGCTTCCCTCCTTCAGTCATTGCCCTTTCATCCACATCTTCAGTAACTTCTAACTTACCAATCAGTTCTTTATAAAACTCTACGATAACCTCTGCCACCTCTCTATCCCCTTCAACAACAATTCCATCCTTTTTTTAATAGTAAACACCCGATTCTGAATTCTTCTTTTCTTTATCCAGGAGAAAAATAGTTTAGAGTTTTTCGTCCCCCTCAGTGATCCAGTCCCTTTCACTCATCTGATTGATCAGCATAGATGTAGCTGTCAGGTTGTGGTGTAATTGATGAATAAGGTTCCTTTCTTCCTCAATAAGCTTGCCCTCATAGGGTGTCTTCTTCAATCATACCTGAACCATTTGAAGATTCCTTCTAATGTTATCAGTCTTTTGATACAGCCCCCCAAATTTGCTTCTGTGCAGACCCCTTAGGTGTGTTTTCTATTCTTTAAATTTCTTGCAGACTTGGAACAGAGGCCTGCCTGGAACTTCCTTTTCCCAGACCTTTCTTACAATTTCAGGGAAATCAGGATCAGTTGCCCACATGTCACAATATTTGAAGCTTCTACTACTATTGTTGTTGCCATAATAAATTATAAGAGGTGTATGTTCAGATACACCTTCTTCCTTAACTATTAGCTTTGTGTTAAACTTAAGCATCCAATCAGTATTGCACATAGCTCTATCAGTTCTAGAGTAAATTCTACTACCTTGGCCTTGTCTATTAGACCAAGTGTAGTAGGAAAATAGTATCCCTCCCTTGGTATTTCTTCTTGTCCACAGAACTCCACACATTCTCTGAAAGCCTTTATCTCATCAATACCCACTGGATGACCCCCAATTCTATCCTCTAATTTGAGAAAACAATCGAAGTCTCCAATCACACTCCAAGCATTTTTAATTGTACTATTGATACTCCTTAAATCTTCCCATAAAGCATCCCTCTTAACAGCTTCATTATGTGCATAGACAAAAGTGATAGCCCATTGATTGTCCCCTCCTATTCTGCTAACTTCACAGTGTATTTACTGACCAGTTCTTTTTATTTTAGTAACCTTGAACTTCCCAGGATCCCATGTTACCCAAATTCTCCCTAAGTAGTGTTCTTGATGGTTAGTGACTGATCTCCAAGTCTTCACCACTCTCCCCTCCACTTCCTGAAATTTATTTTCCTTAATTTTGGTCTCTAAGATAGCCATCAGACCAATTTTATTCCTACTAATAAAATTCTTTATTTCTACTTGTTTATTTGGGCTATTCATGCCCCTGATGTTCCAGCACCCTATCATGTGAGAAAAAGATAATGCCCCTCATAACGGGATTCATGAACTATCCTATTTATAGAGGATCCTTCAGGAAACTGTTCCTCAAATAAGTTCCCCCTCTTTTGCACTCTTCTTTATCCTTCTTAAGAAGACTGTCCTCCTTCTCCTTTCCTTGTGCAGCTTCCTTGTTCAGAGGGTTTGTAGGATTCTTAGGTCTCCAAAGCATAATCCTTTTCTGTTGTATTTGTGGCTCTTCTTTCTTCCTGCATATCTCCTCTGAATGGCCTAATTTCTTCCAACTACCACAGATTGTAGAACACCATTCATACTCAATTCTCTGAGTTACCACTCTTCCAGCCTCATCTATGAACATCACTTTATCAGGAAACCTGTGATGAATTCCCACTTCTAGTTAGGTTCTTGTCCCAACTTAAACTTAGTTGCAGTAGCTTTGTCTCTCCTGACAGGTTTACCAATTATACTCTCAATCTTATTCAATCCAGATAAACTCCAATATTGAGGTCTTAGTCTGGGAATCTTGCCCAAATAGCCAAATAGGTATATCAGTCAGCTTCTCCATATTAACTTTCCACCCTAGCTTCCATTTTTGTACCAGCATAGGCTTATTATCCATAAAATAGTACCTCCTCTTTGTAACTTCGTCTATGTCATCCACTTTTTCAAATTGAACAATAAATTGCGCTTCTCGCAAAACAGAGATGTCATTAAAAGGAGGATTAGCACCAAGGACACAACATAAGATTGAAGCATCCCAGTAATTTGCTGTTTCTATAATATCCTCTTTTGTCATTCTTGCTACTGTCATTCCATTAACCTCCTCAGTTTGCACATATTTTAGTTCAAATTCTTCCTTCGTTCCCACTACCTCAGCTAATGAACGTTTCGGAATATCCTCAAGGCTCAATCTTATCCCTTTGATTCAATTCCCCCACACCAGAACCTTGATTTTCCTTCATCTTATCTCGAACCGATTCCAATTTAGATTCCTTGGTATCCAGATCTAGGGTTTGTTTTTGTTTCCACAGAGTTTAACACTGAGATAGGAGTAGCCTCCTTACCTGATGATTCACAAACACACGGAGATCCAGTTCCTCCATCCTTTGAAGTTTCTTGAGATCCAATCATAGCCTTTGCCTTCTTCCTCGGTCGTCCTATTTTCCTCGCCATCATTGCTTAGAGAAGAATATCCTATCTGTTGCTACTAAAAAAAGTGTATGTGTTAGATTTTAGAGTTAAATAAATGTTTTCCGGCCTATGATATTATATAGTAGATCTGTTTGGAAAGCATTAGCATTTGAAGACACAATCTCACCATAGAGTGCTGCATTAGTGTATCTGCACATATAGATTCCGTAGCTACTTTGTCTACCCTTGCAGAAGTTTTATATGCAGTATGCACAGAATGCATTTTTGTTTCTCCATATTTTCATGTTTAATTGATATTTTCTTGCCACATGTTACACGCTTCTAACCTTCTTTTGTCTTTTGCTTTTTGGGCCTTGAAACTTTTTTTGTTTTACTATCCAGGTCCTGCTGATTTTCCCTAATCTTGTCAATGCACCACTAGTTAAATTCCAAGCAGCTCTTTCTTGCCTTCTGGAGGTGCCATTTCTATTTGTCAATACCCATACATCTACGACTTGGTGTAAAACTTATCCAAATTCTCTGTTAACACTTGTTTTTTTTCAAGATTTTACAGTTTCACAAATCAATTAGTTTTGCCACTTCTGTTAGTATAGTATAACATCTATGAAACTATTTTCTCTTTATGAACGGATTCCTATGGACATGTATGGTTGTAAGAGTTAGTTTTTGTTGGCTAAATTTGATAAAACAGTGAAAAATTATTGAGTGTTTGCCACTGATTAATCGAACTCTCTATCCTCAGTTCTTATGGACCTAGGGAACTCTCTATCCTCAGTTCTCACGAACTATCTTCAGTCCTATGAACTCGCTATCCTTAGTTCTAATGGAACTCTCTATCCTCAGTTGTGTGTGAACTGATTCTTATGGACCTTTATTTGACATGGCTTAACCTAGGGGTCACCTCGTGCTGGCCCAGTGCTAACCCCGTCAGAGGCTTTAATTGCTATTCATGGAATCCATCCTGATAGAGATAACATCCCCTTGAAGAAGGCAATGTTTTCCTCACCTTGCTATTACTTATATGTTGTTTTAGTTCCCCTCTTTTTTCCAACAAGTTTGATGAAAATGTTATTTAAGCAGGCAACGGATGCTTGTAATGCTTGCTTTGACCAGCCACAGATCTTTACCCAGCAAGTTGTTGCAAAAGTATTGAATCAATTGGTAGGGGTAACTTAAAAGTTATGCCTAATCTTTCTTGTTTTCCTCCACCACTTTTCACGGCTTGCCATCTGAATTGTAATAATGGAATATGCAGGTTGAACAAATTCCTCCTCCGTTATTATTTATGAGAACAGTATTACAGGCTGTTGGAGCTTTCCCTTCTCTGGTAAGGAGATGGTATTCATTCACTTGTGGTTCATTTGGAACTCTCAGAATACTAGGGGGGAGAAAAAAGGGACTAAAGCATATGAGAAATTGATAGGGAAGAAAATGTGGGTGATTATAAAACTTTGTTTTGAACTCAATAAATCTATTTTTTTGTGTGTTCAAACACATTTTATTTCTTTTATTATTTCTGTTATATAAAAACTAATAAATCTAAACATATGCAAAAACAAAACAAACAATAGTCGCATTTCATTCTCCTCGAATGTAAAGCCAAACATGAGGAAAGTAACTCTTTGCATTTTAATTCCATTTCCCTTGCATTTTCTGGGATACAAACATACCCTTGGAATTCAGATGAAAAAATGTGGATTTTCCCTTTCCCCTGTTGGGCAACTCGTATGACTGAGAATATGGCAAACATTCCAGGTTGACTTTATAATGGAGATTCTCTCTCGCCTTGTAAGCAAACAGGTATATAGCTGTAACTATCCATCTACTCCTTCATTCCCAAAACAAGGCTCCACATTTGAGCCGGCACAGTTATCAAAAATGGTAAAACTGTGTTGTTGAGATTTGGCCTCCGACAATGTGAACCTTTTTGGGACGGATGAAGTATATATTCTATTGTACTGTATTTAACTCCAGTGTCAGGTCATAAAATATGTGTTTGTTACTCAGATATGGAAATACCCGAAATTATGGGTAGGATTTGTGAAATGTGCCCAGCTGACGAAACCACAATCTTTCGGGGTTCTGCTTCAGGTTTGCTTTCAAGACTTCAACTCACTGGTTATATTACAGACAAAATAATAAAAAAAAATAAATCAGTAAATCTGTAATATTCCATCTGGTTCTGGTTTTGTAGCTGCCTGCTGCGCAACTGGAGAATGCATTAAACAAAGTTGGTGCGCTGAGGGGAAGTTTAGTGGCACACGCTAGCCAGCCGCACATAAAAGCGTCGCTCCCAAGGTCAGTACAGGTGGTTCTTGGAATTGCATCCGATTCTCAAGGTTCAAGTCAGGCTCAACCGCCACCTCAGCAGCCTCCAACTGACGCTAATAAAGAGGCAGTGGCAGAATCATCTGCCGCCGCAAGTTAGATACACACACACACACATGTGTGTGTGTGTGTGTATCGGGGCTGGTGGGTATGCTTTAGATTCTCATTGAAAAGCTCTGCTACTAATTGTGATTGATCTTTGGTTCTTAAAAGTACTTGTATGTTATGATTGAGAAAAGAAAAACAACAAAAAGAACCCCTCCCTCTCTCTTTATATATGTATATGCTTCTATAGTTCTTTTCATTCAAATGCGAGTTGTGGTGAAGTGAGAATTTGGTTTGGTATTCTTAATTTCTGATAACAACCACATTACCCCCATTGCCTCAACCGCTTTGCCCATTGCGGGGTAAAGGGGGCTCGATGTACGCAGTCTGACCTTTATGTTTAAAACATAGACCTGTTGTTTCCAAAGGTATTCTTAATTTTTGATACGAGAAATAATTATGAACATTTATGATAACTGACAAACAAATTGACAATACAATTTACAAATCATACTTTGTTCTGAAAGAAAAAAAGACTTAAAGTAGGAGTAATAGCATTGATCAATCATGATCATATACATTACCAAAAAATATAATAAAATGTTTGTACAATGTACAGTGTTATATTACCACATTGTAAAATCCTATTTATAGAAAAGAAATGGCATTCTTATTTTGATTTTTTTTTCTCTATATTTTAATTGTATTTAGGATGCTTTTTATTGGAAAATCGGCACAAAAATTCTTGTGATCCTTTTTTTAATGCACCACTCAATTGTTATACTCATTCTCTTGCAATCAGATTCAGTACTCCGTACATTCTTCTTTATTTGTGGTTCCAAAAGAAATTTTACATTTTCCTCATTTTAAAGAAAAGATTACATGATCTGCAGAAAATCTCTTCTAAATAAATGTACAGAGTAATTTATTTTAAACATGTTTTTATTAAATTTTGTGGAATTAAATTATGAGTTTCATTTTGTGGAAGGTGATATTGCTTTTGTCATTGTAGATTGCTTACATAGCTTATCTTTTGACTTGAATGACAGAAGTCTATTCTTCAAAACTTATAGGGAAATTCACTTTGCGTTCAATTTCTAGCAGAGCCAGAGGCATTCACATACTACGCACCATTAGATTGACAAAAACATGAACAGATAATAGAATAAATAGCATTAAAAAATACAGAGTACGTCTTAACTCTCAAGTTCTAACAAAACAAAGTTATTTTTTGTGATAAAAAAAGAGTTAATTCATAAAGGTTACTCCTCCACACCTTCAAACAAAGGTTGAATCACATTCCTTAGGGTGTCCTTAGAAGGACTGGAATCATCTCTCCCAAATTCGTATTACTTTTACATGTTTCACCAATTAAAATGTAACGCATATCTCACCCCACTCTCTCATTTAACACAAACTCACATTGGGGTGGGTTTGTGTCACATTTTAATTAGTGAAAAATGCAGTTGGGACACGAATTTGGGACAAAGGATCTCACTTCTCCTCAAAACAAGTCGAACAGTATCCTGAGATTAAGTAAATTGAATTATGAACCTAACCTAGCAAATAAGAAGTAGATATCAGCTCTGAGTACGTGCAAGAATTCCATTCTTTGCATGATTGTCCCTTATCTCCGTTTCTAAGAATTAATTTCAGATCTTACCACTTACACTATGTTTGGTTTAAGAAATTTTAAAGGGAAAAGAAAAGAAAATGAAATGGAAAACATTTTTTCTTGTTTGGTTAGAGAGGAAAAGAAAGGAAAAGAAAATGATAAGGCAAAATGTACTAAGTGGAGGGAAAACCAAATTCCTCCCATTTTGGTGAGGAAAATGAGAGAAAACCATTTTTTTCTTTTCCTTCCAAATTCCTTGAACCAAATATAGTGTTAGAGTATTCTTCACTTTCCAGCTAGGCTATGCACACAAACAGTCCATCCCCAGTTCCCCACACTTTCAATATTCATTCGAGCACCTCTTCTCTCTTATGCCCTCCCCTTGGACAACCCACCATATCTGACCCCTCCCATGCACTCTCAACTCATTTCTCGATCTTCGAATTAAACAAAGTACCTTCAATCTCTCAAATGACCTGTATGGTTTTTAAGTTTTTAACACTAAAAACAATGTCAAACAAATCAAACCATTAATAAATTAATAACTAATAACGCTAGCTAGGAGTATAACACGAGGACTTTCGAGAAAGTCACTCATCCTAGTACTACTCTCGTCAAAATTTCGGAATTCTGATGAGATCGGTGCATTAATGCTTATATGATCACACCGAAACCCGGTGCATTAGGGGTTTGATAGTTTCATCTTTCCTTTCAAGAAAAAATAATGCTAGCTAGGGACCATAACTTCAAATCCTCTTTTTCTTCTACCTACGGCCTACAACCCAAACTTGAAATCCCAATCCAAACTCACACATCGTTGAAAAAGTGAAAAGAAAAAAAGAAAAAAAAAAATTGGGTGCCCAAAAAAGCCCGAAAGCCCAACGATCCAATCCTCAATTCCTCTTCCATCTCACCCGTTTGTTTTATATTAATGACTCTCACGTTTCGAGCTCCCCCCATTCATCCTCCTCCTCCTCCTCTGTTATCCTCTGTTTTGAATGATAATATTTTTTATAGATCAAAATATTTACTGTATTCTTTCATTTGCAATGCTTTAGCATTCTTGTATCATTTCACATCAATTTTTGTTCTTTTTTTAAATTTATTTTTATTGCTCGTATATATATATATATATAAATTTTTGTATAAAATAATTTAGATCCCAGAAAAGCACAAGAAATGGCCTCCATTTCTTCTAGTCCTAGAACTGTAGAGGAGATCTTCAAGGATTTCAGCGCTCGCCGGGCTGGAATTGTTCGAGCTTTAACTCAGGGTAACTTCCTTCGCATTTAACTTTGATTATCAATTCACAAACTTTTCACTGTGGGGATTGATTTGACTTTCTTTTTTTTGCTCTTCCAGATGTTGATGAGTTCTACGGTCTTTGTGATCCAGGTTAATTTCTTAGCTGGAATTTACCATTTGTTGATGTAGATCCGCTAGAACTTTCTCTCCTGTTGAGTCTTCTTCTTTCCTCTTCGGATCTCGGAATGCGTACAACTTTACTTTCTATTTTCGGTGGAGGGGAAAGATGCTAGCTTTATTCTCTTCTCTTGCTTTTAATTTTTTGTTTTTATATTTTTTAAAGCCAATTAAGCACCTTTTTTTGGGTTCTTTTTGGTTTTATTTTCTACTTTCTATTTTCGATTTGATGACCATTTTTCAATTGAAAGAACTACTCAATTCTGTGTCCATTTTTGCATGAGCAGCCAGTGAGTGAGGAAGTTTTTGATACACTGAAGAAAAATGCAATTTTTTAAAAAAATCTTTGATCTTTTTTTTTCCTTTCTGTGGCCGGTGTGTGTTTTACCAATTGTTTCCTTTTACGGTGTTTTTTTTTAAAGATCTTAACTTATATGAAGAAACATGAAAGTTGCAACCTTGAACATTAATGACTATTTGTTGCTTAAAAGAAAAACTAGAATTCTTGAGGTAAAAGAAGCTTGGAACTTTTCTGAAACAAATTAAGTGTTTGCTTCAAAAAGAAAAAGAAAAAGAAGGAGAAGAAGAAGAGGAAGCTTTCCATTCTAATGCCCTTATTATTCCTATTACATTTTTTATTTTTCCAAAACCCAAGGCTTCAAAAATGTATAATTACTCCTTTTGCTTCACTTTTCCTGTTTGTGTAGAAAAGGAGAATTTGTGCCTCTATGGCCATCCAAATGAAACTTGGGAGGTCAATCTCCCTGCGGAGGAAGTCCCCCCCGAGCTTCCAGAACCTGCCCTTGGGATAAATTTTGCAAGGGATGGTATGAACCGCAGAGATTGGCTTTCACTTGTTGCCGTGCATAGTGATTGTTGGTTGCTTTCTGTGGCGTTCTACTTCGGAGCACAGATCAACCGGAATGATAGGTATTCTGTAAGAAGAAAAAAACACACTAGCTTTTTGTTGTGTTCTTGTTGATTTGTGTGTTCTTTACTCTCTCTTCCTTTTCCTTTAGTATAATATAGCTGTCATCATCCCATTTGCATTAAATATTCTCTTATGATTTATGATGATGTATTATTGCATGGTAATGTCTGCCACTTTCTTGAAGATGTGTTTTCTTTGAATTACTCTTTCTTAATCACAAAAAAGGCACAAACTTTACCTACACGGCTACACCTGCAGTTTTTGTGTGACCTCCAGATAATGTGAAGTGATATAAAGTATACACATGCATTTCACTGATGGTTTGATAGTGTCCCGCTAATCATGTCTTATAAGCCCTTCTAAGATGGTATGTAATATGCAATTGCATGAAGCCTAACAGTTGTACCATGATGTTAGTGTTATATCAAGTTAATGCCTCAGTCGGTAACCATTAAGGGCCCAATCAAAATTGCAAATTTCAGCTAAGTACTTTGTCATTACGTTTCTTGCCAAATTTTAGCTGGTGTACTTCAAAGTAATAATGTGCAGTGTGTCGCAGTTGGGGTGGACACTATTCGGTTCTGGGTGTGGAAAACCAAGAATATTAACCGGATCCTTGGTCGTCCACTGTTCTGGTTCCAAAACCAGTTCCATTTAATGGAACCTTTGTATACAAAGTTACGTTTCTGGTTCTTGGAAGTGTAACTTGCTTGTTTCTGTCAATTGTTTGTGTTGATGTTTCTGGAAAAAAAAATTATTTTGTATACAAATACTTCGTAATACTTCTTTATTCGTGGTGTTTATTTTTCCTTTCCCATGACATAGTTTTGTAAAGTATCATCTAATTGCTGTTAAACAATACCAAGCACTGGGATCATCTTTTTTGGTGTAATGGTGGTAGATTTACGCAAGTATATGGAGATTGAAATAAATGGATCTTTATCAATGCCGTCTTTTCCTTCTCGGATATTGGTTTTGTTTGTTTGTGTCTGTTCAACCACTTATCCACTGTGGCAAAAAAACATAAAAACACAACCCCCTTTAACAACCGAAGTGGGTTCTTGTTTATTTGACAGGAAGCGTCTTTTTAGCTTAATAAACGATCTTCCCACCGTATTTGAAGTCGTGACAGAAAGAAAGCCTGCAAAAGACAAACCCAGCACAGATAGCGGGAGCAAATCACGCGGCAGTACCAAGGTTTGATAAATTTTGATTTTTACTGTGTTATACTCCATCTGTCCTAGAAAAGGGTTCATCATTTCCTCTTTTGTTTGTGCAAATGTAGAATCATAACTATGGTCAAATACTCAAATGTAGAATTTTAACCATGGTCAAATGTAGAATTTTAACCCTCTGCTCAAGCCTTGCTCATGACAACATTATGTCTATGAACCAACTAAACCAAAAGCTCAAGCTTGTGGTTTTGTACGCTGACAGTGACATATGGTTCATTGCAGAGAAGCAGCGACGGAGTGGTGAAAAGCACCACCCCAAAAGCGTCTGAAGAAGGGTACGAAGAAGAGGAGGAGCACGGGGAGACGCTGTGCGGGTGCTGCGGGGGGAATTACAACGCAAACGAGTTTTGGATCGGGTGCGACATATGCGAGAGGTGGTTCCATGGCAAGTGTGTGAAGATCACGCCTGCCAAAGCCGAGGGCATAAAACACTACAAGTGCCCCTCTTGCTGCTTGAAGCGTGGCAGACCATAATATATTATAACCCGGCCCCTCGCGGGGGAGTTCGCCGAGAAAAAAGGAAAACAAAAAAGATTTCAGCTGTGTTGCTCTTGATGCTCCTCCTGACATAATAATATAGTTATAATAGTCCATTATATTTACACACTTCTTCCTTCCCTAATGGAGAGATCTGTCTGTTGCTGTGATGAATGTCAACATTTCAAAAGAAGATCACAATATATATATATATATATATATATATATATATATATATATATATATATATATATATATATATATATATATATATATATATATATATATATATATATACACATACATACAGTTTTTTTTTCTACTTGTTTAAATTGTTGTAGATGCTTTCATCATATTCATAAAGCTTAACAATAACAATAATTAATAATAATATGAGTGTGTGCATTTGGAGTTTCTTTTCTGGGCATAAAAATTTCTTTCTTCTTTCTCTTTTTTTTTTCTTTGAAATTTAAATTATGTATTTCACCAGCTGGCTTAATGTACATGGCTTTGTATTGGACTGGTAAGTTGATTATATCTATTGTATTTGCATCAAATAGACAACTTTATCTTTAAATATTTAGAACAAAAGTAGTGAAAAGGTAAATTACTAAATTTGTCTATTTTATAAATGAAACGTGAATTCAATTATCATCCTTGGGAAAACCATTCAATAAATAATAAATATTTGAAACCATTTATTGAAACAATGCTTGAACCTTTAATAACATCAGTGTGGGTCAAATAAATACCCTTATTGTATGATGATATATATTAGCAACAAAACTTTTCAACTCTTCAAAGGAAATGACTCCACAAACATCATACTACTCAAGATTTAGATTTTAGCATTTCCACTTGGGATTTCCCTTGAGGACCTTTGCTTCGAATGAACGCTCTGTACTCATTGAATGTCATCGGGAGATACATTGCAGGGTTGTTTTCAGTAACAAGTTCATCGAGAGGCTTAACCACCACCTCCCCGCCTGGATTGTAGAAGAAAGCGAGTGACACTCGTTCCTTTATAGAATTCACTATCACCCTGTGCTCGACGCTTTTATACGCCGCATTGCTCATCACCTGAAATCAAACGTGAACGATATAAGTAATGTCGTTTCAATCCATGTCCAGTACACTTATTAATTAGTAGGTTTTTTTAACCAAATTATCGAGGCGAGAATCCAAATATAATAAAAAAATAAAGATGGTGGAATTGTAATTGTATACCTGAATTTGATCGCCAATATTAACAATTAAGGAGTTGGGCAGTGGCTTAACATTAACCCATTTGTCTACGTGGAAGACTTGGAGGCCCACAACATTGGCATCCGGGAGTAAAATGGTCAATCCGCCCGGGTCAGAATGGGGTGAAAGGCCAAATGCAAGGTCCGGTTGGGGGCATTTTGGGTAAAAATTAACCCGCAGGCACGATCCTCTGCCTTGATCCCCACCAAAAGCTTGGTGAAGCCTGTCTTCTTTGAGCCCAAGGCTTAGGGACATCATCCTTGTTAGTTTCTCACCCAAACACGCCATAGCTTGACCATATTTCTCAGTCAATGGCCTACAATACATTATCTCAAATATTAAACACAAAAGGCCACCAATTTGCTAAGTCATGCTATTAGCCTTGTTAACATACTCTCTCTCTCTCTCCCAAATTAATCTTCTGATTTTTTTTCCGACGCAATTTAATAAAAAGTTGAATTGCTTGTTAGAGATATATGGAGAGAAGTAATGATAAACATCATTTATTTCATTTCATTCATTACAAGAAATCTAAAGTTTATTTTAGGTAGGGCAACACAAAAAGAAACTAGGAAGATTAATTTGTAAGCTTAAGTTAACCAGTCCAATGGCACAAGGTCTCTCAAAGGTAAAGACCCTTAAGAGCCCAAATTTAATTTTTATACGGAGTACTTTATAAACTAATGCTTAGATGTAGCTCATCAAAGATAAGAACCTTAACGTCTCATAAAATAATCGCTTAAAATACCGTTAACTAGAATTTCTGTCCCATAGGTGTGGGGTCGTGATGACCTTCAGTAAGGCCGGTCCTGATGACGAACACCGCCCCCTCATCCTCCGACCCCTCCCACCCCCCGATCCCGACGACGAACACCAGGGGCAGATCTACTTGGGAACAATTGGGGGCCAATGCCCCCAACTAAGTTTTGGTGTTAAACTAATTCTTTTTTTAAAAACAAAAAATTAATATACTTTGGGTTGCATGCCCCCATCTAAAATTGGGATTGACCCCATCTCAATTTATTTACTCCCTACAAAAATGAATGGAACCTTATTTAATTAAGCTAATTTTTAATTTTTTGTTTAATCTTATTGAAGGAAGTGTATTTTGTTGCATTTAATTTATTGTTTAGAATAAAATTTAACATTACCGATTAAATAAAGTTTTACATTCAATAAATGTTTAAAATAAAATTTATTATTTTTGTCATTACAAATTGTCTATTTTTTTAAAAAAATCAAAGGCGCTGCCCCGACCAATTGTGCCCCCATCTACCTAAATTTCTAGATCCGCCATTGACGAACACCGTCCCCATATGTTATTCTACAATAAAGTTTACGTTTTGATTATAAAAAAATTCAGAAATTATCTTAGAAAATGTTAAAAAGTAAACAATATAATGCATGTGGTCATTGTGGTGAGTTTTTAAAGGCTAGAAATTGGGAGATACAAATTTTTTCTACTAAAAAATACTCCCTCCGTCCCATAAAACTTTTCTCCTTTCTTTTTTCATCCGTCTCATAAAAAACTTCTCATTTCTATTAAAAAGTCACTTTTACCCCTTACTTTTTCATACCCTACCTATCACATCATACCTTTTTATTAATAATCTACCCATCACATCAAAGGACATTTTTGGAAATTCAATACCAAAATACACTCCTTTAAATCTCTTCAAAAAGCAAAACATCCCATGTTTCATGGGACGGAGGCAGTATGTCAACTTTGAAGCATAATAAATGAAGCAATGTAACTCATTCGAATTATCATTCAATTAGACAAAAAATTCTTACCTCGAGTTCATGTATGTTATAGGGAGTTCTTGTTTCGTTAATAAATTTAATAAAGAAATATTTACACTAAATAGCACTAAAACTTAAGTCATTTCTTTAATAGCATTTAAATTATTTTATTTCTTAAATAGCACTTAATAATGTCCAATGATGGCAAACATTTTACTTAAATAATGACTAATGAATAATGACTAAAAGTGCTAAATTGAAAAAAAACACATATGATGCTATTTAGGGAAATTTATTACAGTATGTTTTAGTGCTATTTAAAAAAATTTCTCTTTAACTAATGATATTACGGAGTATAATTTTATAAAGTTTTATTAATTTAAATTTTAATTATTTTATGTACTCCGTATTTAATAAATACGGAGTACTTGATAATAAAAAAGATTCCTTGTATAATTTTTACAGTATATTAGAGCAATAATTAAAGCCTTAAAAATTGCAGAGCGCCTTCAAGTACTAACTGTACTATCAATAATAATTGGGCGAGCTTGAAAACAAGATTACTTCTTTAAAATACTCCGTATTAGGATATCACTACAACTATTTTTTAATTTACATGATAAGTTCCATTTTTGTATCTACTTTTGGAATGATCATAGAAAATTAACTCTTCCCAAATATGATAAGTTCCATTTGTGTCGTATAACGGAATTTAAAAAAGATAATTAATCAAATAGGATTTTCAAGATCACAAAATAATTATCTTCCATTTTTGCATAAGAATTTAAAGAGTGTATGCTTTAGTAATTTTCTAATAACATTCCAAAATTAGATACACCAATGACTAAATTAAAGTAGTTTACTTAAAAAATGATTAAAGTAGTATAAATCAACAGTCTAAATAAATAAATAAATGATATAAAAAATACCACAAATTAAACCCAATTTTTTGAACAAAAATTAAACATAATCTAAATAAATAAATGATATAAAAATTTGATATATCAAATCTATATCCTAAGATGAACCCAATTTAATTATATTTTTATTATAACTAAATATACTTTTTTTCATAATTTATGGTCAAAAAATATCACTATTTGACCCAAAAAATCAATATAGAAAAGATTTTTGGGAAAATTTACAGTAATACTCTAAAATATTTCGGATTTTACAAGAATACTCCAAAATTTAATTCATTACACCATTACTCCAACAATTGCTCTATTTTTACAAGAGCACTCCACCCACCACGTCACTTGCGCAATCATATTTTGAAATATCTACGTTAATTTTTAAAGTAATGCTGGCTTGGTATATAAATCACTTTTTTCAGTTTTCATACAAAAAATAAATTACTTGTTTTTCCTTCAACTCAAATATCAATCTCCTACGTTAAGAGTTTGTTCTTTTACGTGGGAAAAGTTAACTTCTAACTTTTTCAATTTTTTTTAATTTTTTCAAATCTTTACATTTTCTTACAACATTCAACTTTAGAATTCGAACTTAGAATGGCATGCCCTAATTGTGAGAGACGTCTTTGATATTTGAGTTCGAGGAGGAAATAAGTAATTTATTTTTTATAAAAACAAAAAAAATAATTTTTCAAATCATCACTTTCTAAAAAGAAGATAATTTTGTGAGCAATGATGTAATTAATCGTAAATTTGTTGGAATATTGTTGTGAATTTATCGAAGATTTTTAGGAGCACAAAATGGAATGCTCATCAATATGTTGTGTGTATATACCTGCATGGAAGGGGAAGGCGTGGCCACTTGGAGGAATCGCGTAGGGAAATGGGAAGAAAATTGAGGAAAAAGTAATCGCACCAATCCAACTTGGCGCCCTTCTCCACCCCGAGGCGGCTGCCGTAGCCCTCGTACGTGGCGGGGGAGTTGGCGTACTCCTGCTTCTCCTCCGCCGGCAGAAGGAAGAACTCCCGCCACGCCTCCTGCATCTCCGCCATCAACTCCTGGTCAACCCCGTGGTTGACCACCTGAAAGAACCCCCACTCCCGGCACGCCCCCGACATCTTCTCCCCCCGTGCACCAGAAGAAAGAGAAGAAGAATCATTATCCTCCTCCTCCTCCTCCTCCTCCTCCTCCTTCCGGCCCGCCACCGCCTCCAAGTCAATTACGGGTATCTCCTCCACCACCTCGGGCCGCTCACTGCGACTACGCCTGAAGTAGCGGTCCGGGAGGGTGGAAATGCCGCTTTCGGAGAGGCCCTGCACTCGCACAATCGGCTCCGGCCATTCATTCAAACACCCATTCTCGTCCTCCTCCTTCCCCATCGATCTTTAACGTAACAACGATGATCGATCAATCAAGAATTAAAAAGAGATTGGATTGGATTTCTTCAGTCTCTCTCTGAAAGATAAACACATAAATAGGGATGAGAGTGTAGTGTCATCATTCTAGTGCATATACCAAAAAAAGTCAAAATAGGAAGAGAATCTCTTTTGAGCTTTTTGTGTCATTGTATCCCTGAACTCTCCGCGTACTTCTAAATCTGCCGCATATAGACTATTGATGCAACGTTTTTCAATCTCCAAAGATCGCAATATTTAAAGGTCATGAAAATTTTATAATTTTTAGAGTTTGAATCAAGAGCATGTATGTGGGACGGAGGGAGTAGTATTTTTTATGTTAACTTTAAAATACTATACTCTGAATATATGTTCGAGTGGCATTTTTAATGAAATATTTGCACTAAATATGACTAAAACTTAAGTCATTTTTTAAATAGCATTTAAATTGTTTTATTCCCTAAAAAACACTTAATAATGTCCATAATGGTCTGTGATAACGAACATTTACTTGAATAATGACTAATGTAGTGCTATATTGGGAAAAAAACACATGTGATGCTATTTAGAGAAAGTCATTATATTTTAGCGTTATTTACACAAATTCCCCATTTTTAATTTACTTCAATTTTCATATAAACTAAATTCAAAATGAATATGTTGGTAAGGAAACTTTCCTTGGTAGCGTGTAATTACGTGTGCATAGCGTGGATGCCACCGCGCTAATAGAGGAGACGACGTACGTACAACGTAAGGATACGACGAAAATCCGGCCGGCCCCGATTGAAAACCGACGAGCAAATCATGGGAAACGGGAAAATTCATTTCCATTTGATGTTAAATACTCCCTCCGTCCATTTTTAATGTTCATACTTTCCTTTTTTGTCCGTTCACAAATAAAGTTCATGTTTCTAAATTAAGCAAGGAATTATAAGTGAAATGCCTTTAATACCCCTCACCCACCACCCACTTTAATTTACTCCACACCACTTCCCCAACTTTTGTACTTGTACTTGTACTTTTGTACTTTACTTGTACTTTAACAATATTTTAATCATTTTCATTACTTTATCTATCCAATCACTACTATTTAACTTTATTCACCTTTACCTTTAATTTTAATTAACCAAAGGGCAAAGTTGGAAAGTCAAGGGTTTTTTTACATTTTCTTAAACTCCGTACCAAGTCAAACTCTGAACATTATTTATGGACGGAGGGAGTATATTCTTTTTAATTAAACACATGTTAAAACTTTTGATTTTTTTAAAAAAATAACTTTGCACGTTTTGATTGTTTAATTAAATTTGTATATTTGGTCGAACCAATTTGGTAACAATAACAAGAAATCCACAATTGTAATGGGTTGATTTCGGACAGGAATAAATGAAAAAGGAAGCCTATAATGGCGCTCCTATATCGACTTGTACTAGTTTTTTACTATTGGAAAATCCCCCTAATTTTTGTTTATTTTTATATTTCTATCAATTATTAAATAAAATAAAATATTATTGTTACTGTTTGTTTTGAAAAAAACTTTTCACGATGGTGGTGTAAATTTGATTGAGTAAGTTTGACCAGTCTCATCAGTCAAACGGACTCTATAAAATAAATAAAATTCAAGAAAATAAGAACATGTCAAGAATGACCTAGACCAAGAAAGAATTCATGTATCTGAATTTATATTTATTACTCGGCCTCAAAAGTGTACAAGTTTGTGTGAGATTACACCGATTGACTTTCAAAATTTCTCTAATGATACTTCAATTTTTTAAAAATATTTAAATTTTCCCCTTAAAAGATATACCATGCCCCCATTTATGCAAAATAAAAAGGGTAAAAGCATTTTAAATCTTTAATTGAATATAATTTTTTGTAATTTCTTTATATACTCTCTCCCTTCAGAAATGTTTTTCATTCACAATTTCCTTTTTGGTCTATCTAGAAATATTTTTCTTATTTTCTTTTTTTAGCTTACTTTTTAAGGGTAAAATTCAATAACATCCACCCACCAATTTAATTCAACCCTAAGTTAAAGTAGGGATATTCTTGAAAATTTGATACTTTTTTTTCTACTGGTAAACAAGCATGCTTGGAGAAAAATATTTTAGGACAGAGGGAATAAAAATTTCAAAATTATTTATTTGCTTAATTATAAATTATGTGTAGTACTCCGTATTTCACAATATTGACTTGAAATTTAACATTATTTATGATGTTTCATATAGTCTTTAAAAAAATATATGGCGCTCCCCCGTATCCCAGCCCTATTATTCATGCCCCCAGTTAGGGATGACAATGGGTTAGGTTCGGGTCAGATTGTATTATCTAAGGCACTGCCCCGTATCTTGACCCGACTTTTAAATCGAAACCCAAAACCCGACTTTTAAACCAAAAAACCCAACCCGGCCCAAATCCGACATTTAAACGTGAAACCCAAACCCAAAGCCGAATATGTAATTTAACTAATAACCAATTCGACGTACCTCAAGAATATTAAAAAGAATAAATCTAAATTCTTGTGTATCCCTTTTTTGTATCTCATTTTTTATTGAGGAATTATAAAAGGCATACTTGGTATAGTAGCACCTTGTCAAGACGATTGCGTGGCTAAAAATGCAAACAAGACAGGAGACAAATCAGAGATGCAAAGAAGAAAAAACCATACAAAAATGGAGAACACACAGAGATGCAATGTAAAGACCAGGAGAGCGATGCAGTTGCACCAGAGAATTAAAGGAAAAAAAAGTTATATAGAGTACTCTTTATATCTGTAGATAGCGTTTTAGGTTATAAATATTTAGATTTGGGTTGGGTCAGGTAAAATTATAAACCTACACCTGACCCGACCCAATATCAAGTTCAGGTAAAAAAAATTTGGGCCGGGTTTGGATTATTTTATTCTCGGTTCGGGTTCGGATATTTTAGTGTTTGGTTGAGTCAGTTAAGATCGGGTTCGGGTTGAATTGTCATCCCCACCCCCAGTCCTCACATTTTTTGGATCGCCACTGATGGAGGGGTGGAGTTACGTAGTTGGATCATGCACGCTATAAAATCGCGTCATACCTACATGTCTGCCTCTCAAGGTCCAGTCGGCTTATCCAACGCATTTCGAGAAATTCAACATCAAAATATACTTCCTTAAATCTTTTAAAAGTCACTACAAGACAGGCTTTTATAAGCAGAGAAAGTATTATTTGATTTATGAAATAAATTCACTCTTTGCATAGTAGAAAATACTCTATCTCTCCCTTAAAACTTTTCTCATTTTTACTATTACTCCCTCCGCCTTAATTTAAATTTTCAGTTTCAGACCTTTCAGTTTACGATGTTTGACTGAAGTTATTTCAAATCATTTTATATAAAAAATAGTGTAGAATAAAAAATTAAAAGTTACATAATTAAAAACTATATCAAAAGATCTACAAAACTAGTGGTAACAAAACTATATTATTTTATCAAATCACTAACAAAAATAGAAAAAAAAGTGAATAAATTTTGATCCTAAAAATAGAAAATATGCAATTAAACTTGGAACGGAAGGAGTAATAAATTTAATAAAGAGATATTTTTGTGTTAACTTTCCAAAACTACATTGATGTGATTAATAAAATAGAATGAGATGGGAAAATTATTAGTGGATAGAAAGAATTAATAGAGGTGAAATTATCTTTTTAGTGAAAAATAGAAAATTTTTTAGTAAGGATGAAAAGAGGAGAAAATACTTTGTATCGGAGGGAGTATTTGATTTTAATTAATTTGAAGTCGGAACCAATGTCAATGAACCCGGAATTCCTACGTGTTCCATTCCAAAAATTGACGATTCCCTTCTCATACCCCACGGGGCATGTGAAAAAAAAAGAAGTTACACAATATTGTGAATACAAATGGGAAGCAGGAGAATAAAAGCATTCATCAAATCAATTATGGGGGAGGATCACATTCATACAAGGGAGGAAGGTGGGTCGAACAGCTAAAAGAACACACTATGGGTTCTACTCGATTAACAATACTTTTGAAGAGGCTAAAAAAAAGAAGATTACCAAAGTCATGATCCTCGCTCGCTCGCAAACCCACAATTCTAAATTAAATGGTAGCTAGCAATAATCCCTCGTTTATAAACGTCGGTGGCCAATAAATAATGATGAGATTTCTCTAAGTATTATGAATATGATACACACCCCATTTATATATAACATGTAAGAGTGGGAAGTTCTGTCATCTCTTTGTAGTTTTGTGCGCTTCTGCTGGTGGCTTCTTCGCTCATTCCCCCAGGTTTAGAGACCCGTCCTTCATCAGCTTTACACTCAGACTGTTGAATCTCCCTCTCGAGTAATGCCGAGAAGCCTTTCTCCAATCTGTTCCCGTCTTCATCATCGCCGCAAATTCTTCATAGCTGATAAGACCGTCCTACCCACCCACCCACCCCCCACACAAAAGCAAAGCAAAGTGAAACGACTATTCCAGAATCGGGTTTTCATAAGTTAATCACAATCAGCCCTGAACCAAATGACAACTAAATATGAAAACAAATGAAACGAGCCCTGAACCAAATGACACTACTTACCTTGTCCGTGTCGACTTCCTGAAAGATATCATTTGCGACGTTTGTACAGTCTTCTGATCCATCCTCCATAAGAGCATCTTGAAGCTCATCCGGCTCAATGTAACCGTTCCCATTCTTATCAAAGTAAGAGAAGGCCTTGCGCAAATGTTCATCATTAGCCATTCTTTGTAAATGGAGTGAGACCGCAATGAACTCTCCATAATCTAAGGTCCCTTTTCCGTTTGAATCAATCTGTATGGCAAATAAGTCACATAACATCATCATCCATCAATAGATCAATTGATTTCTTATTATATTCTTCATTTTTCATCTACGGAGGATTAATTAACTGCTTCAATTTCATTTACTGTGGTGTTGTAGTTGTGGCAAGCAGTATATACATGTCGCAGTTTTTGCAATAAAAATAAACTAAGAAAACCAAAATGAAAACAATGCAGTATGTATATTACTCCCTCTGTCCCGGAATTATCTTCCGGGTTTGACTTGGCACGATTTTTAATAAAGTGGAATGTTCGTGGTTGAGGTGTGTAGAGGAAAGAGAATATATATGAATCATATTTTTGTTTCCTTAAAAGGAAAGAGCATAAAGATTTTGGGACAACCCAAA